GGTAGAAAGAAAGGAGGGGACCTTAAGTCTTACTCGTCACCCACCGAGCGTTCATTCCCAAAAAAAAATATCCCATTTCCCACAACTTTATACAAATTTATTCATGTGTTTCTTTCTTAATAAGACAATTTTTTTCTTGATATGTGAGGCAAAGAAGACTGAGAATTACGAGTACTTTCATTATGCATAAGTTTACTCCATGGTAAGTTTGAACAAGAGTTTTAAATTTATCTAATAAATTTGTCTTTTGATGTCAAAGTAATTATGAAATCTTACTTCCCTTTACCAAAGGAAAAACATACATCCTACCATTTGATCTAATGCGTTTCTCTAACAATGTTGTTATTGCCGAGAAATATTTTATCAAGCAAAGTTTTTGACTGATAAGACTAAGGTGATCCAGAACATAAAATATGTACATTTCATATTGTTGAAAACACTCTTAGAAGAGTGCTTCTCCCATAAACAAAAATAATTGTGTTTTCATCCTGCGAGTTTGTTTTTCATTTTGTTAAATAGATTGTTAAATAAGAAAATCTTCTTTTTTTCCTTGAGATGGGGAATACCTAAATATTCTAAGGGAAGAGATTTTCCATTAAACTTACTGACTTTCGATATGATTAGTGATAGTGATTTTCACATGATCATATATAAATAGTTAGTTCTTTGTCCTTAGAATCAGTGAGACCGCAGTAATGCTAAAAAGAAAGAAGTTATCCACGAGGCACTCTCAAACATTCTACTACAATTATAAAGCTTTATAGATTATCAAGAAAAGGAGACCTTCATCTCATATCTGGCTTTATAAAACATAATGTGATACTTAGAATAAATTTTTGAGACTTCTAATAAAATATTTATGGGCAATATGTAAAAGAATCGAGAGATACTGTCATCTGATATTTAGCTCTCTTTAAGATTTGAAATGCACCACCTTAGACCCATTATAAAGGATTGAAAATTAACAACTAGAATACATTCAGATAAAGGAATTACATTTATAGTTAAAATTGAAAAATTGAAAACATTAAAACGGAAGTCCCACCTAATAATACTGTTAATCTAATGGATAAATTCTTGCGCGAGTAGGATATAGTCATCTACATTTTAATTTGGTAGAATAGTTTTAGTAAGAGCATGTCTATTGGATAAACTGTTAGGTAACTTTTTTGGCCCTAAAAGAGTCCTAAAAGACATGTTAAGTTGCCTCAGCCACTTTTTTTTTGGATGATTTCTAAGAATTTTTTGTAAACGTGTGCAGTGAAACCATTAGGACCAAAAGTTTCATATTTGGTATTAGAAAAAGCCAAATCATTTTATTCATTTGGAGGAAAGGTGAGCAACTCATTATCTTGTAAATCAATCATGGAAGGAATGCCATTCATTAGTGTCAATTGAGAATCATTATTCTCACGAGAATGCTGGAGAAATATTTTTTTACAGAGGTGTTTCTATCTTCAAATTCCTCAATTTAATTGTTTTGTTTATTTGATTTTATAAATTCTATTTTTAACTCATCTTATTTTAATAAAATTATGAAATTATTTAGTGTTTATGCAACTGTCTTTGAGTGTCTTAATACTAGACTTTTGATGCCAATATTCCTTTTCCATTACTAAACATGGTAAATATTAGTAATTTGCTTAAATTGTCTTCTTTAGTAAGGCCAAGCCATGGAATTGAATTTTACCTACCTTGTGTCCTCTTCTAGAGTTTTAATTTCATTAATGAGATCACCAATATTCTTTTTGTTCCAACACCTAAGGGCTTGACCAATTTTTTAGGTTTCAGCCAAAATTTAGTAAGGCTAAATCCATAATTGAGGGCATACCAATTAAGCATAAAAATTTCCATGAAATTATGATGTTTGAACCACATATTCAGAAACAAAAAGAATGGGGTTCCCGGGCTGCATCTTCAGATACTAAGAATAAGGATTGAGGAATGATCATAACCTATTATTTAACCATATAATACAAAATTTGAGGATATAATTGAATTTGCTACTTTCAACATAATTATTATTTTAAAATCTATTAAATATTCTTCTTAATCATGAGATTTATTTTTAGGATGAGGATTGAGAGAACGGTTATTAAACTGAGGTTGATGTGAAGAAAAAAGTAAATTGTTATTTTGATGATTCTGATGAAGGTTCATCAAGTGATAAGAGTGATTGAGGTTTTTTTTAATTTAGTAATTCTAATGTTAGTGACTTATCTTTTTTATGCTTTGATGGAGGATAGTAGGAGTGAGAAAAAAAACTATTTGTGTCGAGTTTATTTTGAATTGTTAATGTTTCCAAAACTTTTTTTATTTTATGAGTTAATTTGTGGATGTTAATATATTACTTTTTTAATTTGAACAATTTTTTATGTTTATTATATTGGAATGTAAATATGTTATATTTTAATGTATTAATAGAGGATAATAATATATTATTTCTTGTTGCATACTTTAAACTTGGTGCAAAACTTTATGGGATTTATTGATTTTGATGCTTACACCTCAAAAAGCCTCAATGCTTCTGTCTCGCCACACGAATAAAACTTACCTTAGTACCGATTTGTGCAATTTTAAACTTTGACTAGATTAAACGAAAATTGCAAAAAGAACCTGAGAAGAGATGAGATTCTTCAGACTAGCTAATTGATTTATTATCAATGTGTTAAAAAAAATAAAAAACCAAAATAAATTTGATAGATACAGATAATCTAAATGCGTTGTTCTTGAATATTGATATTTTTAATATTACATTGTTGATGATCATATGAGTGGGTTAATGATGAATATGAGCACTCTATATTTTGCAAAAGTTTAATGTTTGGTTTATAGAGAAATTAAGAAAAATAAAAATGAGGTTTATTATCAGCTATTTGCTATTTTAATATTATATCTACTTGTAATTTCACAATGTTGATAAGCACATGTAATAAAAAGAATCTTAAAGCCAAAAGACTAGTTAGGGTCTATTTATGTAACTTTTGCATTACTTTGTTTTTTAGATCGTTACCATATTTTTATTTAATTAACCACTTTTTTCTGTTGCTTTTTAAAAAAAATTATGGTGGGATGATACTTTTACAACCTTTAATTTTAAATTCCAAGTAATTAGACTATACTAACAGAGGCATATGAACTAGAAAGTTGGGATATATTATAAATGAGTTGGCAATGATTCTCAATGTTACATCATAGTAAAAATTGACAAAGATAATAAAAGTTGGTGATGATGATAACTAAAGATGAACTCAAATGATGGTAGCAAATTAGAAGCAATAAATTGAAATGATTTTAACATGCATTTGTAGATGCTAATAACATTGTGGTGATGGTCTGCTGTAATCCAACAATGGAGGGAGGTTGACCTGTTATTATTGTTTATAAATCTAGTAAGATCCAAACTACTTTTAGAAATTCCTATAAGCATGTTATTATCACCTCTTATATTCACATTGAGTCATGCGCATAAACATTTATTACTGATAAATATTTATATTAAAGTTCATAGTATAAAATAGATGCTTTTAACTTAAATTTAGGAACTCATGTTAAAAAATTAAAAAAAAAAAACTCTTTATAAAATTTCTGTTTGTTCTAATGATCACCTTAAGAGCAAGATCAATCAACACCAAAGCACCTAAATTCAGTTGATACTTTTCCTCCATTCACTCTAGTTATCAATGACCTCATATCTCCCAAACTAAAAATATCAAATTTAGGATTGCAATTTCTGCATCATACGCCATCAAGACAATAGAAGCCTGCACGTTGTCTACCATGTCAACAAGCATAGCCTTAGTTACATTCGGATTGTGGGTTTAGTTCTCTTGGAACAAATTTGTCGTGGTGATGGAGAGGCCTTTAGCTTTGTATCTTTTTGAAATACTGAAAGGATTAATAAATTCTTCGGCATGTTCCTTTATGTAAAGAAGGGATGGTGGAAACAATTTGAGATCTTTTGGAGTAGGAGTGGGGTTGTGTTAACTGTTGCTTTTTCTTTGTTGTTTTGGTTTCAACTGGGTGAAATGATGGCCATTTTAATTTTAAGCGTGCAAGCAAAATGTAAAATGTCACTAATTACTTTAATGTCTTCTATTGGTGTAGGGTGTTAATTGTTTACTTGGTTGCATTAATTTTCATTTATCGTCTGCTATTGGTGGCTGATTACATTTAAGTAGTTAATTTTATTTTGAAATTTAAAGTTGAATTGTGATATATTAATGATATTTTCCTCTTACTTGTTGAGAAGATGTCAAGTGTCAATTTTTTCATGATACAGAATTTAAGATATATTGATAGGCATCTTCTTGTGCAATTAGTTGTAGTTGGTAGTTGGAAGCAGTTACTTGTCACTAGATAGTTAACATACCATTTTCTCCCTTTATAAGTCTATAAATGCTCCCATTTATGGAGGAATAGGGTTCATAAACTGAATTAGCCCTTTTACTTGATTATTCTGTATGTTTCCATCATCCTCACAATTTTGGGAGTTCCCAGATCAAAGTAAGGTTTATTATGTGTGGATCATTTTATGTTTATAACATATTTGAATACGATTATGATTCCTTTTTCTATCTACATTTTTTTCATGGATAGGGTGCTTTTTTTTCTTTAAATTTCGGGTTAACTTTGCTCTTCAACATCTTTTTCTCCTTCATAAACATCCTTGACACTCGAGGGCCTTGTGGCTACTTTTTTCTCCGTATATTTGTAGTGCCATCTCAACAATCAGATTGCAGGTGTTCAATTCAATTTTTTTCTTAAGATTTTGACTTGTATTTTATTGAAGGAGAAAAATAAATTTTGATTACATATATTCAATTATAATTTGATTATGATTTTCTGACTGTGTTGAAAAACTGTAGAGGATTAAGATAATTTATTAAAACTAGAATGTGGAAACTTATACTCTATTTAAATTGGTTAAAGCTGTAAAAGAAATGGCCTTCTTTTATCAGTGTGAATTTTGCTTAGTTTCTTTTTGTATGCTGCTCCAGGAAATTGGCTGGTGAATTATGTTTAAGAACACATTTCAGTCTGGTTTCTTGTCTATCCTGTACAGCCTTGGGTATGACATCCTTTCACTTGATTGTATTTATTGAAATTTGTTGTTTTCTCATCAAGTGGATGATTGTCTAATCTCTTGATCTTGCTTGACAGGAGTAAACCTTTGCAGATATGGGATAAAGAAGGTATTCAAATTCTGGCATACTTGATTTTGTTTGTTCTCTTTCTTCTCTGAGATTTTCTTTCAATCAGGATAACTGTCATAAGATTTGATCATTTCTATTTCTATTGAATTTTTCTGCCTTCTTAATGTTGGCCATCTAGCACATAGGTGTTTCGGACAATCTGAATTGAGTTTTCATTAAATACATAGAGAATTTCTGCATGAGCAATTAATTTCTGTTTTAATTAAGCCAACCAGATACAACCCATGTTTAGATTTTTGGAGCTTTGAATAGATGAAGTCTGGATGTTTTACTCCTATGATATATATATTTACATCCACAACATTCTACTGCTAATGTTTTCTGACTGGAAAAGTTTTTTTATTCCCTTTGCAAGAAATTATAGTTATGGATTCTTTTTGAATCATAATGTTTACTCTAGGTTGTGTTCCTTAAACCTAGAAATGAATATCTTAAGTGTTTCCGGTTTTAATATTTTTGATTTTTCTGTAACTTTGTTGCTGGGCATGTAATTCCGTTAGGTTCTCCAGGATTTATTAAATAACCTATTTTTTGAGTCATTGCAGTGGTTAATGGGCAAATCAAACGGCCTCATGATGAAGATATTCAATCCAGTGTTCTTGAAATAGTTGGATCAAATGTTCAATCAACATACATCACTTGTCCAGCTGATCCGTCAGCAACACTTGGCATAAAGCTTCCATTTTTGGTCATGATTGTAAAGAATTTGAAAAAATATTTCACTTTTGAGATACAGGTGCTGGATGATAAGAACGTTCGTCGACGATTTAGAGCATCCAATTATCAAGTGTGTAAGTTTGACCTTTTGTTCAAGTTTTGATCAATACACATACGAATGACCATTTTAGAATCACATAGAAAGGCAAGCCAAATTTAGTAAATCTGTAAAACTCGAGAGTTTCACGATTACTTCATTTTTCAAGGTTCAAAGAAGATTACTGCAGCTTTAACAAAGTTTTACTGGTTTCCTGTGCTGTTGAGTTGCTGTTGTATCTGTCATTGAGTGTTATGTAAGGGGGGATTTTGTATTCAACAGATGAAGTCAAATTTGGCGTGCTTCCTATTTTTTTTCTGAAGATAAACATCCAAGACACGCTAATCCCCATAAAGGAAATAAAAAGAATAGAAAAGAAAAGAAATCTTCGCACACCCTTACATTTGAAACAGCTTATTCTGAATGGGGAGGGAGAAAGGAACCTGGCTTGTCAGTTAACTTTTTTTTGTTTATTTTTTTGCACTGTTTTTAATTGTACAAACATCTGCAAGATTTCACTGCCAACTTATTCTCATGGATCTATAGGTTCGCATTTGATGTGGGATCCGTATTTAGCTTCTGATGTTCCTTAAAATTGGTGACAAGTTATGGTCCTTCATTTTCTATCAACTCTTATAAGAATTCAACGTATGGAAATTGAGCCTTCCATTGACAATGTAATGAGCCGCCTTCCAAATGCAAAAGCAAATTGCACAAGTTAAAATAACCTCCCGAACCTCATTTGAGTGCTGATATCAAACAAATAAGAAACAAAAATAGAGCGTACAAATGAGTTTTGTCTAAACTGGACTAATCCTCTCTATAGATGAACGTCTTCAATTGACAACTGATGCAATAAATCTTCATATAAACTTTATGCTTGTGCTTTATAAATAGGTCTTAGGGATCGTTTGTGATTTTGCAGGCCTTTACATATTTTTGTCTCAAATTAAGGGTTGCTATCAGCTGATATAGTATTCTAAGTTTCTTTTAAGTTAACTCTGGTGGTAACATAAGTATGAGTCAAAAGAATTTGGACAGTTTATTTAACTAAAAACTTTGGTCCCTTGGATCTTTCTTTTACTCCCTTGCATTTTTAGTACTTTTAGCTCCAGTAGTTGGGATAAGTCTATTGATGATGGTGTTGATGATGAGGATGATTTTTAGCATTGTTAGTGGCATTGCACTTTATTAAAAGTTAATAATCGAAGGACTGACTTGTAGCATTAACTCAGTTAACGTATTGTTATTCTTTTGATCATTTTTCATCGTGTCTCCATTTTTGAAAGAGCTCCTTGTTTACAGTATTCTTATACTAATTCTAATGGCCTAGTACTGTTTGTTAAAGTTGCACAAATTGATCTAATATTTGTAGAAGTCTCTCCTACTGAATGATGCTTGAGATTATTAACTACGGAATATTTACACATTGGATATTATTTTCAAACCACTCCAAATTATTAATGCTTCTTCCTAATTGGTTCTAGTTGTTCCATCTGACTGCTACATGTCGTTGAAACTGGACTAATCCTCTTTATAGATGAACTTGTTCAATTGACATTGGATGCAATAAATCTAGATATAAACTTTATACTTATATGCCATATGATTTCTTTTACCAGTATGAACTTTAGATTTCCAATTTGATGCAAACTCTATATGGCCTTGTTTACAGGCGATGACACGTGTGAAGCCTTTCATCTGCACCATGCCCCTTAGGCTGGAAGATGGATGGAACAACATTCAGTTAAACCTTACTGATTTAACCAGAAGAGCATATGGTACCAACTATGTGGAGACACTGAGAGTCCAGGTGCATGCGAACTGCCGCTTGAGGAGAATATACTTCTCAGACCGGCTTTACTCCGAGGAAGAACTTCCTCCAGAGTTCAAGCTTTATCTCCCCATTCAGGTAAAAGACTGAACTCTGTACTAAACTTTAATCTAATTCAACTGCAACTTATGCACGTTTTTTGATCTCCAGAAGAGTTAATCTACCCAAATGGAATGCTGCAGAGCTGAAAGTAGTGCTGATGTTTTAATGTTGTTTTTGGGAAAATTTTTGTTATTGAAAGAAATGCTTTTGGAAGTTGACAGTTTGTGTTTCTGCGGTTGATTTTTATTTACTTTTTGGTTAAATGTAGCTTGGTTTGATCCAATATAGCTGGTTGGTTAGTATCATGATGCCTGCAATTTAATGATTGACTCAATGAGAACCTAATTTAATGATTTGGGTGATATTGAAGCCTCATTTTATAGGGATTATTCAAGTCTCATGTAAGTTCATTTTTTTTTTGATATTTTGTGGTGCATTGCTTTTGGATATAAAAGGCACGATTACTTTTTCAATGCCAAGTCAGTATTAATCTTGTGTGAGCCATCTTAATGATGTATTCGTTACATTTAGTAACTTATAAGTATTTGGTGTATGATTATGTGCTGGACATATACATGTGATGTAACTTAGAAGTTCAAACTAGGTAAATTTTCATAACAAAATATAAGATACCAGTTATGCCATTTTACATCATATCTAACAAACTTAAATTCAAACAAGGTGTTACACTACATAAATATTTGATTTTTTAGAGAGCTTTAAATAATGTGAGCGCTTTAAAATATGAACAACTATCTTATTTACTATTAAGCAATTTAAAGAATCAATTGATTAAATGTTATATAAATGTAGGTCATGTAGGACTATAAGGATGTATGGATAGAAATGGGTTTAATCCAACTCCGAGGTCTAAATTGATTGTGAGCCAACACCAAGATTATGACTCCATTAAATTGTGTTAAAAGTGTGTTAATCTTATTCAATAGGATGAAAAAGCCAACACCATTGCACTCTAAATTTCAATAAATTCTAATAAAATTAGACACTCATACACGAGAAAGTGCAACACAACATGTACACCTCCTATACTGAGTAGTGAAAATCCAAAGTATTAATTAAGAGAAATTTTTTAAATCAAAATTTAAAAAATCTTTAAGGTGATAAAAACATTTATATATAGTCATTTTAACTTAAGTTCTTAATTATAAATATAAAAGAAAATTCATTAAAAATAAATATTTAAAGTTGAATATAAATAAGATTATTTGAAAATAAAATCTTAGTGATGAATTGAAGATTTTACCAATACAAAGACCACAATGAATGAAGAAAATGAAAACTTTGAAATTTCTTTTTCACTATTCCTCAATTTAATTTCTTAATGGCTTTAAATTTAACCTTCTTAATCATTTTTTCTCTTTTTTAGTTAAGGTAATTATAACCCTCAATAAGTTTTTTGTTTATAGGTTGAATGTATGCAAAATATCCATAAATTATCAACCCAATTTAGGCTCCCATGGCTAGCACAAAACTAGAAAGAATATCTAATAGCTAATGTCTATTTGAAAAATTATTTGGTAAATGATTAAGCTCATGTTAGTTAGATGGGAAAGAATAAACCTTGACCTAGAAACATTTAAGAAAATGGTTAAATAAAAAAACCAATTTTGTTTTCTTATAACATGGCTTACATATGCTAATTTGATTATAAACTATTAAATGTTTCAATATTGCTTTTGTATACATCAAACTATTAAGAACTTATCTTCATTTATATTTTGTAAATAAAACCTTACAACACATACTTAATTCCAAGATTTTGCCTTCCAAACAAGTGTGGATCCACTTACCATAGTTAAAAACTAGTTCTTACTATAATCCACATTCATTGACCTATAAGATAAACAACACAGTTTTGCCTACCGTAATAAGTATCGATAAAACTTGACAAACCATGAAGAAACAAAGGTCTAGTTTTAGCTTTATTTTTGAACAGAGATAAACAACACGGTTTTGCTTACCGTAGTAAGTATCGATAAAACTAGATAGATCATGAAGAAACAAAGGTCTAGTTTTAGCTTTATTTTATAAAATTATTTAATTTGCTTGTCAGATCTATAAGCGTGCAAAATATGCGAGAAATATAAAAATGCCTTAGATGTAGTGCCATAAAAAAATGGAAATTTACTTTTTATACTTCTTAAAATAACAATAACATTTTATAAACATCCAATTTTCAAATATTAATCATGAATAATTTGATCATTCTTCAATTGTTCATTTTATAAAATCTTTTTTCTTGTATGCTCTTAATCCTTACCATAAAACTATCATGATTAAAAAATGTAAATAACTAATTTATTTAAACTTGAAATATTAATGATGAATAATTTGATCACTCTTCAATTGTTCATTTTATAAAATCTTTTTTTTTTTGTATGCTCTTAATCCTTACAATAAAACTAGCATGATTAAAAAATGTAAATAACTAATTTATTTAAACTATTTATTTCTTTTTTTAAAACAGATAATATGATTTTACAATCACAAAAAATTATAATGAGAAATTCACATACTATTCAAAGTACTTTATTTTATTTTTCAGCACTTTTGTTGTATTGACCTCTTTATTTAGTCAGCCATTTCCTTTAGATTATATCCAGTTGCATTTAAGACATATGACCCCCCTCCTATTTTCACTAGATGATTGAATTGAACTCAAACAAGCTATAACTTAAACCATATTTGAGTTGAAAATTGAGCTAAATCTTATTGAAGCTAAAATTAACAGCTAACTAAATAAAAATTGAAATCAAACAAAACCCAAATAGAATTAAATATAACTAAATTTAGCCATACCCTAAAATTTACGTAATCAACTTTAACAAAATGCATACTAAAATTATTTTTTTCTCCATAGAATAATATAGAGTTTGAAACTTCATTTAGAAAGTTGCATGATGTTTATTACCACATATAAATACCATAAAAATAAGTTTGACAATTATATAACACAATTTTTATGTAAAATATTCACTTCAAAGTTTCAAGCATGAATTATGTTCCATGCACCCTAAAATTATCGTTTTCTCCTTAGACCAATCTGGTGATCAAAATTTTATTTAATGAGTTCATGATATTCACAATGACATATAAGAAGCATGTAAATAAGTTTGATGATGACTGAGCACATTTTTTTACATAAAATTTTATATTTTAGATTTTCATGCATGAAAAATGATCCTACGTAATATTTTTCAATGAATCATTAATTTTTAAAATGAATTATACAAGTGCAACTAATTTATTAAAATCTTTCAAATGAACCCCTCTGTGCCCAAATAAGACTTCGTTTAGGTGCTCGTTATGCCTCAATACTTTGGATGATAATTTTTATACTAGAAAGAATAATCCTAATAATACACTCAAAATAAACTCAAATCAAAATAAAACTTCAAC